AGAAAGTCCTGGGCCTTACCTGAAATGTCTTCTAACATACTAGATCAGCTGCAAATGCAGGTAATTGTGAGCTCCAGGTTGATTACCTATAAAAGGGTCATTGTGATGTATTTTTGGGGACTACATTCTGCACCCAGAAGTATGTATGGATAGCAGTTAAATTTAAAGGAAACAAGGTGAAGCATACCTTATTGTGAGAGATATCATGTGATGGACTAGCAGCCCATATCTCTGAAAAGAAGGAATCGTTTCACTCTTTGGAAAGTGGGATAATCTCTAGCAATGTGGGCCATTAAGTATGCTCGCTAGAGTGCACACAATTATTTGGATTATCAGCCTAGAGAGCCTTTCACGGTTTGGATTATTTTAATCGCTTTTAAAGGGCAGTAGATTGGGCAACAATTTAACCTTAAAAAGAAATAAGTAATTGAGTGGTTATCATCCTAATTACTCTGACATATCTAGCTTTTTTCTCCTTTTTGTTACAGGAGTGTTCACTGCTGCATTTGATCTTGGCATTGAATGGCTCCTAGTAAAAGGTATCGCAGATTTCGCTGATGGTAAAGACACCAAAGGTTCTTGGAAACGTTTTGCAAGTATCATGGCAGCTTCTACTGTTTTTCATTTGCTGAGAGATCCTAATGTTTTTAAAGACTGGCCTCATTACAAAGGTAACAGTAGTTTTGGGTAAAATCTTGTTTTCCATGTCACTTGTTTTGTATTTTCAGTTGTTTTGGATAGTTTTTATCATTTATTTATTTAATCACTTTCACCAGAGTGTGGTGAGGGTCGCACAACAGAGCGAGGCTCCAAATTAAGTGCGCCCTATATCCCACCCATCCCACCCCAGGGGAGGACATCCATCACACAGTAATCTCGTGTGTGGGAAATTAACGTCTCCTACCCCAACCCTGCAGGAGACGGGACCTCCATTTATTCGTCCCTATCCGAGAAGACTAGAATATCTAACCATTTCTTGATGTTATAGAAAGGTAGCAAATTCTTCTCAATTATTTTTAAGACCCTGAGTGTTGGTCCGGCCGGGGCTCGAACCCTCGACCTCCCGCACAACAGTCCAGCGCTCTATCCATTTGAGCTAACCGGGAGGCGGTTAAATCGCAATGAGTTTCCGTTCTCACAAGCCGTGTGGTCTCTAACGAGCTATTTTCCCCCGTTTTGTACGTTTCCCGCGAAGTCCAGTTTTCTCACGCCAAAAACTATCGTCACACGAGAGACATGATTAACCGCATTTAAAGATGTATAAGATTGAAAACCGTAAGAGTAATTTTATTATTGGTGCATTATTTCATCACCCCTTATAACAACATATGTACACATTTATGATGTATAACGTCACGATCCATGTTTTTATACCAAGTCATTAAGTCGACCTCTAGGAGTTGTTCTTGGCATACACGTAACCGTAGGCGTACAATTATTCCTTAATTCCGTCCTGTGTTTGATGATACTACAAAATATTGACAACTGATTAGGTGTCAAATTTATTATTTCGAAGAACGTTTTTAATTTTTCAACTCCAAATAAAGTTGTCTTGTCTTGTGTTTTACTTTTTCCAGTTAATTCACTTTGAATATCCAATCAGAGGAAGACAATCTTCCTCGTCTCCAAAATCTTCAATTAACTTCCTTGTCTATCTGTATTGTACATAACTGAGATCTTAAGATGCAGTGGTGTTTGGGCTCACATCTGCTGGGCAGTGCTGCTGTAATCCTCACACTGCAAAGTGCAAAAAAAAAAGTACATGAACAATCGCTAAATCAATGCAACTCATAATTTTTTTTGGAATAATCTTCCATGCTATTTGAATATTCTTTTACCAGTGGTCCTAATATATTTCGGTTTTCCTAATAATGATCGTAATGGATAATTTTTCAACTGAGTGTCAAAAGATGTCTGAGATTACTTGGTTTTGCTTTAGGTACTATGTTATGTAATTGGTCTTGTAAACTCGAGCCACTTTCTCGACCAATCAGATGCTAAACTAAAAGCAATCGCAAAGTGGTCGTTCTCGTTTTCTGCGTTTCAGACAGTTTGCTTGTTTTCACTTTGAGTTCACATTGGCTCCGCGTAATATTATGATTTGCTTCTGTGATTGCTAAGGTTTTAGCTTTACGACAGTCATTTAAAAAAGCGCTCAAATTGCTCGTAGAAAAAATCGTGATTAGATATTAATAGGCCTTTTGCAGGCAATTTCCTCTTCTTAAATTTTTATATTAACTCTCCTATAGCCCTCATTTTGAATCCGCAAGTCTAACAGAAGCTCATTAGAGAGTTATTTGATTTACAGCTGAAAAGATCTCCTGTAGTTGCCTGCGGAGAGATGGTTTAAATATCGTTGAAGCCCAACTCTTAAATTTAAGCTGAAACTCCCTAAAACACCGCACAATTGAAATCTATCAAAGAAATTTGATCTACTCCTCTTTATATGATCAGCTGAATTATAAACGCACTTTGATTGTTTTTTTTTTTATGATCTGTTGGAGAACAAACGCGTAAATGACGTTTCCATAAACAAAATTTTGCTTTTTTATCATACAAAGCTAGCAGATTCCCTTTTGCCGTGGGTCTGTACAGTAATACAACAAAGAAGACGACGTCAAATGGTGGTGAACTGAAAGCATGCACCCAGCTGTGCCCTGTATGCAATATCTTTGTTCTCACTTCATTTTGACGTCATCTGCGATCTACCGCTGAGCAGAACTACGGCAATATGGAATTTATTTCTAATACTGACGGTTTTGTAAGAAACTTCATGTAAGCTTACCATCGCATCCATATAACTCAAGCCTCAAACAAATGGCATTTTCCCATGTCCTTGGATTGACACGAATGTATCGAGTAACAAGAGGTTTATCCAACAAATTATGATGAACTGTAAAGGAATCGTTGTTGGCTTGAAAAATCTATGACGAAATCAAAGAGAGAACTTTAAAGGAGAGTTATTTTTGAGTTTCAATGAGTCTAAAGTTGCCGTTTGTTTAACTAGCGAGAAAATGTGTGAATAATCAAGTTCGAAGTCCGTACTGTAAGTTTCGGACCGATGTTTTTCGCTCGGTCATAAATCCGAGCGGAAAAAGCGTATGGTCCAGATTATCATAAATCTGGCTTCATATAAAGGGGAAGATTTTAATTCCAAGGAACTTTTAAATTTTACTGGTCGTACAATGAGTTACGGCCCGCTAAATTGACCAATTATAGCGCGCGTACTAACTGAAAGATATATAATAAATCAAAATAACAATGTGCAATAACTCTACCTTCTCCTTTCCATGACTCTCGTACTGTTTCCATTTTTTCCCATCATCACTATAAAGTAATGCATAAGTCTTCACATGCCTGTCCTTACTGCCGATCTCCCCTTGAGTGGCAAGTTTTGTGATTTCTGTTTTTCTTGACAAATCCACTTGCAGATATTGATTTTCATCGACTTTTGGTGGACACCAGGCGTCAGTTGATGAAAAGTTCTTCAGCATACTGGAGGCCGCGATCTCTCCGTCGTCAAACTCGCCTGATTGAATCCCAAGTGCTTCAAAACAGCCTGTTGAGTAGTAGTGAGCAATAGATCATAACAGTATTCAAATAAACAAAGAAAGATATCAAATGCATTTGTAACAAGTCTCTTTGCTTGGTTAAAGTGGCAGAGTATCCGACTAGTGATACAGGTAGCCTGAAGCAGGCCTTCATTTAACGGTCCAGGACGTGAGTTTCTCTTCCCACAGGAAGATTTGAAACGAGTCGGATAAAGGTTCACAGGGAGTCTGGCGCTGACATTTTTCAGTTCTAGACCTTCGCAGACCTCTCGCGGGCTCGTGTTTCTCACAAGAGAGATTTAGCACCGCGTTTACGTGAAACGTGAACTGTAAGATTATTTAAACTTCCCGCCACTTTTTCACGTTTGCTTGTTGCGCTTTGCCGTACCTACGTGAAAGAGGCGTAAGATTTCCTCCACTTTTTCTCTCGCATAGCAAAAGTTAATTGCTGGAAAAAGGGCACGAAAACCATTCTCTGTAAGTCATACGAGGTCGCCTTCAAATCCACCGTGACGTGACGTGACGTGAGGTTACGCGAAGCTAAAGCAGTAAGGTTCACGCTATTTTACATGAAAAGAGCAAAGCCGTTTCACGTAAACGCGGCGCTAAATCTCTCTACTGTCCCATAATTTCCCGCGGACGAAGGGACACTCGCACCGAAATTCCAACAATGAGGGTCTGATATGTTGCGGGTGTAAGTGCCTCGCCTTCTCTTCGTCAATTTCCCTCTCTCCCGCACTTTTTTTCTGTGTGGTACTGGATGTTTATGACGACAAAATTTAAAATACTCGGTTTTGAGTCGTCTTACCATTATCTCCTTCTTCACCAAATGTCAAAACAAAGCAGAGCAAACCAATCAAAAGGATTGGTGAAGGTCGGTGGCAGACCATGCCTGGAATGTAAGAAATATCTCAATGAGTTGTACAAAGTAATGATAATAATAATTTTGATAATGATAATAATAATAATAATAATAATAATAATAACAATAATAATAATGATACATATGATGCACGATCCTCGCAGTAGATAGCGCTATTTAAGCAATAGCGAAAATCAGACCTGAAAAAAATCAGGCCTGTACGGGATTCGAACCACTGACCTCTGCGATACTAGTGCAGCGCTCTACCAATTGAGCTAACAAGCCAACTGGGAGCAGGCCGTTAAGTTGATTCGTAATAAACCCGTGAAAGTGATAAATGAGATACAATGAAATATATGAAGTTCATATATTTTGTACTGCGGTATTAGATACATATGATGCACGATCCTCGCAGTAGATAGCGCTATTTAAGCAATAGCGAAAATCAGACCTGAAAAAAATCAGGCCTGTACGGGATTCGAACCACTGACCTCTGCGATACTAGTGCAGCGCTCTACCAATTGAGCTAACAAGCCAACTGGGAGCAGGCCGTTAAGTTGATTCGTAATAAACCCGTGAAAGTGATAAATGAGATACAATGAAATATATGAAGTTCATATATTTTGTACAGCGGTATTAGATACATATGATGCACGATCCTCGCAGTAGATAGCGCTATTTAATACTATCTTCATTGTATCTCATTTATAATGAAGATGATAATGGTGGACATTTAGCAGAGGACATTTCGAGAAGGGGCTTTTCTTGCCCACTATTTGCAGATCGAATTGGAATTTGGAATGTTGGTTTGTGAATGGAAGGCAGCAAAACTGGAGGACCCGGAGAGAAACCCTCAGAGTAAGGACGGGGACCAACGACAAACTCAACCCATATGTGAGGACAGGATCGGGAATCGAACCCAAGCCACAATGGCAGCGAGACAAGGGCTATTACCACCGCTCTATATCCTCGCTCCCATATCAAAACATGTACAGTTCATTTACCTATAAAATTAAAAAAAATCTAGCGGGGTCATCATGGCCTGTTAGTCGATAGGTCAGAGGATTCGAACAATTTTCGCAAAAGTTTTAGGAGTCCAGGCTCGACACAATAAAATTCTACAACGACTTCAGCCAGGACTGGACTCCAGCAGTGTCTGAGACAAAACTGGGTCTTCTTTCGATGCTTAGCAATCTCCTTCGGTGGAACTTTCTGACGACGCCATCTTAACTACTTGTATATTTTTCCTACAAGCCTCGCATCTGTAGTAGAAGTTAGCTGGGAATCTTAACTTTGATTTCTGAACTTTGATTACTGAACAAACCTGGTATTTTACCAAACTTTTATCCTTCCAGAAAAAGAGAATTCGTCTCTTTGGAAGAGATTTGTCTTCGTAAGGTCACCGTACAAACTTACCGTGAAATTTTATCATTGCAGACTAATGACATAACTGAGTTTTGACGCCATTGCCTTGGGAAAACAAGTGCGTAAATTTAAATACAGTGGAAACGAGGTGATCTTATTGTAGGATCACTGGCTTCAGTGCATGGTTGATTTGATATCTTCTGCGAAGCGAATGAACTTTCTGTCTTTGCTCACAGGTGTGAGTTGCTTTGATAAAACATATCATTTATTATTCACGTATTGTTGTTCAGTCCATTTAGCTTGGGTCTACACCGCTCACCATCGCAATTATTACTACGATTACTTTTTCTTACATTGACAGAAATAAACTCCTTAGGCGTTATGAAAAACGAGAAATGTATTGAAGACAATTCAGCTGACATAACCCCTTTTAGTATCTACTAAAACTGTGGACAGCGTTGAAAGTGCGCTCTGATTGGCCACTCAAACTTCGAATATAGTTTTTTTTTTTCACCTCCGAGCAACTCACACGAGACTTGCGCCTGAAACTATTGCAATCTTTGTAGGAATAGATTGGTTAAAATCATCTTTTTTTTGCTTAATTATCTCATCCTTTAGTATATACTAAACAACCGACACTGAGGTGAATAGTTGTTAAATTATCCATGACTGTGAATAACCTGCACCCGGCGCTGAAACGTAAAACTCCCCCATCTCCCGTTCAATACTGTCTAAATCAATCAGACCGCATTACTTTTTCAACTAATTTCCTCTGGTATCTTGTCTTTTAAATGTTACGTGCAAATTGAACTGTCGATCTGATGTCAGTGGTGAGATCGCGCTTTAGTTGAACTATAATGGTTTGACTTCTGTGGACCTGAAGCGAGACTTAGTAAAATTGCTCAGCACTTAAATCCGTCTCCTCTTCTGTATTGGTCTTGGGAGAATCCGAATGTTAATCAAACCAGATCAAGACGAAGCCTCTAATTGGCAGGAGCCTCTTTCCATTTGAACTTGAAACTAGCGAAGGTAAGGCACCACGTGTTGGTTCGCGCCTTCTAAAGCTATAAATCAAACTGTGAGGTTCCCGGATGCTATAGCCGGAAGATTCAGTGTTCAATGGTTTTATATTCAGCTGCCCTATTATGTTCCTGTAGTTTTTCCCGAAATACTACATATAAGGAATGACTTGTAGTAATATTTGATCACTGGTTTAACATGATAACTGTAAACAACATAAAAACTGTCTATGGCGCTTCGTTCATCGCAAATCTTGATGTAGAGTCAACAAGACAAGCGAAATCTCACTGATTCGATGTAAAACACTCGTGCAGAAAATCTCGCCAAGCCCAGTTCGCCTCCCGAATACTCATGTTCCATTTTCTACACATCGACAAAATGAATTTTTGATCGTAGCTGAGCGCAATTATGGTGTAATCTTACTTTTGACACCGTGACTGTTTTCGACACAGAAGTCAATTCTAGTTTTGATTTAGCAGAAATGAAGCGAAGTAAATGTTGGTTGACGGTGATATAGCCGCCCAGTTGACTAAGAAATCAATGAAAATACTTTAATTTATCCTCCAGTTAAGGCGCACCATCACTGATACCATTTGGTATCTTACTGAGTTCATACTAATTCAATCAAACTCAAATCTGATTTGGCAACTACACGGACAAACGGTTCGATCGAAGGTTTTTCTGCGTTTAGGAGGAAAATAGTTAGAATAATTCCATCTTGGTCCCCGTTTTAACATCATGTATACACTCGATTTATTACCATCCTTTCCACACTAGTTTTTTTTTTTTTTTTCACTTTGAAATCAAATCAATTAAACAGTAAAGAAAGCAGTCAGGTGGTCTTACCTAGATTACGCCACTAGTGTCCAAAACCATTCAACAGAAACTTTCCTCTTCAAGTCTAAACGCCGCGTAACTAGAACCACAGATGAGTAGCTCGTTGGAAGAAGCACATTAAAGATTTACACTGAACTGTGTTATAAGCGCATTGCGTGATTTAATTTACTTACCGCCCGGTCATGTCAGTGACAACATAAGAGGTAATGTATTGTTCACTTATAATCCAAGCTGGTGGCGAATTGTTCAGTCGTGAAATACCTGCTGTTTTTGAACCTCGCTTGGCGCTCTCTGTGAAACAAGCGGCGAATCGCGCTGGAATCCTTAAGTAACTACACGGTTGTTTACCAACAGAACACAGGATCGTTTGAGGTTATCTAATGAATAGCGATTTTCAACAAACATTTTATTTGAAGTAGCTTAACATGTCAGCAGTACCACATGTAAACACGTATGAATGGGTATGTCATGTAATAAAGCACAAAAGCTCAGACACAGCTGCAGCTTGTACAGGCAGGTTAGTTAGGAGTAAAAGTGAAAAGTCGAGCGAATTTCAATTCAGTTGAACCAAGGGCCGTCCAAAGAAGTCTTGGAGTCGTGCTGTCCAAGATGAGCTAACAAAATAACATCACCTGGGGATAGGGAAAAAGAACAGCCAAAAATAGGGTCGACGCCCAAATCAATCTAATCTAGACCAAAGGTTATTTGCTTTTGAAGCATAATTTAAGCTCAAGCGGGGACATGCGCAGAAATGCGTTCAGGAGAATCCGATTACTCAAGAAAAAGGAAGGGGTGTGTAACAGAAACAAGCCGGGGCAAAAAGCTCTACGGAATGATACGTTCGATTTATAAATACAAATTGTACACTTATTTATTTACAGTTTTAGAAGGAATTCTCCCTTCTGTAACTGCTAGGAGAAAGTATTATGCAGTCGAAAATTTTCCATCTGCATCCTTACTGACTAAATCGTGAGACAAACGTCAACATTTTAGTTTTCTTATTGTTGTTCTCAATTCACTGATTCTTGTTCTTGTCAGCACGGGTAGCAGGTGGCTACTCTTGAGATCTTTTCGCACACAGAGTTCAGCAGCTCTTACATTTCTGCCGTTACAAATCCTTGCCTTTACTGGTCAGCAGTACTTTCCAGCTAGTCATTTTCTTGTTATTTGCTTGAGGAACCTCGTGCGAGCCTCGTGATCTTGCTTGTAAAGCATCACCGCGAGCACGTGCACCACGTGATGCACGCATTCCAAGTGCATGCGTAGCCTTCATTTTAGCTTCCATCTCCAAGATGTATTTCGGAAAAAGGCTTCGTTCGTCGTAACGCATTTGAAGGTCTATAGAATTCAATAAGAGAAGTTGGAGGGTAGTAAACTGAAAATTGGGCTGATTTTTAGGAAATGTTTCTTTTTTTTTTTTTTGGCTATTTGATCATAAAATAAATAGCACAATATGTATAAATAGAGTATAAATATATCTTATTAACCAAGCGCGAGGGCCGCACTGGGAGAATATCGGCCCGAGGTCTTGACAGTACGGACCTCGCAGCGCTCGGTCCGTA